ATTCCATCACATATTGTACATGCAATTAAAATCGCACTAGTGTATTTTTCCAGGCTTCAAGTTCTAATCTGTAAGGCTATCTGGACATCAAAAACTGCAAACTCAACATCAGTCATTGAAGAAATAAAGGAAACTGAGTCTCCCTACAATTTCTTATCAGGCCAGGACCAGCAGTCAGCAGCAGTATTGGATGCTGTGTGAATAGTGATCTGATTGGAGATAGAATTGTCTTACTTGGAACAGTAAGAACTAGGGTGCTATATACCGGTACAAATGTCTTTGCAACTGAACTCCCAACCCCGAAAGTCAGCTTTTGTGACAAGCATTAGGTATGGCAATGTCTGAAATTAAGCATGAGAGTCAAGGGGACTTGTCGTAACCCTAATCACATGAATGTTACAGCCTGTGACCGTCTCCACAAATCCAAAACCTCTGTCTAGTAAAATATCGGTAAAGATAATTGTGACTTGTTTGTGGAACTGAATTCTATACGTAAATTAAAATGTCTAATGATCCTGTAATATCAGCTTGTACCAGTCCACACACTAAGACAAACATCTACTGAAAATAATGCCCAAATACAAGTTTGGGATAGAAGACTCAAAAGTTTTTGGCACAGTCTGATGTAGTCTGTTTCTCAGTCCCTCCACCATATTATTTTACCTTCCACCCAACTCTTCCTGTAACGCAAAAGCCCTAAATAAAGCAAGGGCAGCCTATGTTCCATTGTGACTATGATAAAGGCTTACTAGTAACACAGTAATTATTTCTTTTCACTGATCTGGTGCAGGTTTTAGTGTCAAATATTTGCAATCGTGAGTTCCATGATCTTTGTACAATGATGTTCTATTATAGGACACCTCAGGTGATTGACTTTTTCATGTCCTCTTGTCACTACAACCATGCAGTTTTTACACATAATGTTTGTACAGCAGTCTCAGCAGAGAAACATTCTGGACAGGTTCAAGAATTAGACAATGGCCCAAATGCATATGTTATCAGTTATCTCACTGGGTCTTCTTTTCAATTTAAAAGGAGATATTTGTTTTCAATCAAAATTATTTATTTTCAGAATTTTCAGAAACCAAGCATTAGTCTAAGACTGATGTTAAAAGTTAAAACTTGGATGATCTCTGGATTATATTAGCACAGTTGAAAACCTCAATTACCCTAGGACCCCCCTTTATCGTGAACATTTTATTTGGTAGCATTCTCCTAAGACTCCCAACAGGGTTGGGAGGATATTTTCCTGCTCTCCCAAGCCAGGTCCTGCAGCAGGGTATCCCATGTTCAGATTGCGTCATCCATGACGGAAGTAATGGCTGCATTGTGTAATCAACTGTTGCCTGGAGCTAGGAGAGGAAGATGAAAGTCCAGCAGGGAGGAGTCAGGAATGACTGCCATCCATCACACTGCACTGGGATGGGACCTAAATATCCCTGACCTGGGCTTACAATGGAAACTGTCACACCCTGAATAAGAACAACAAATCAATGAACCTATTCCACTGAGCTTGATACTAATACATGTACATATATTTCACCATTGTTACAAAAATAACTGTCAAATTTCATTTAAAAGATAAAATTTAATATCAAGTTTTTTCAATCTTTGACAGACTTTAAAATGACAAAGACACATCATCTACTTCTTTGATGCCAGTGAGTCATCAACGTTCCCCTGTTATAAAGAAAGTATCCATTATCAGCATCATCTAAATGTCGACTTTGAATTGTTTAATCAGTCCAAAGTCTTCGTAAAGTGACAACATCTTGCTTAAAAATGTTAAGGAAGCGGGGTATGTGGCAGACTATGATCAACACTCTTGCAGCACGTAATCAAGGTTCAGTCCGACCTGGCTCCTGTCTACGGGGCCACACCTACCTACACAATGTCTTTCAGCATTAACTGCACCGTATTTTCTCCAATAAACCCTGGGCCATATTCAATTCCAAGTCTGGGTTATCTATTATTGAAATTTGAGTCAGGCCTTTAAAAATGGTCAGTCAATTATACCATGTTCAAATATTATAGTGTAACAAGACTAATTTATGCTTTATAGTGTAAAACCAATCTTCATTATTGAACTGCCTGTTGTTATGAATTTCCATGAGTTCATGTAATACTCTAAATAATGGTAGATTTGTGCTGTAGTTGAAAGAAATAGCACATGAGTATTAATTGGTGAAAATATGGCACATCTTTTCTAATTATTGTATATGAAACAAGTATGGGATTCCTCTTGGTAGAAATGATTCATCATTCACAACACCAGAGTGCTAACCATGGTTACCGAGTCAAATAAAGTGATGTGAGTTTGGTTTAAGCCACTGATACAGTTATTTCAGTTATATCACTTGTCTCTGCTTGACGTGAGAAGAAAGCCTGAAGTGATGAATGTCAGACATTTACCTGGAAAACACATGAGTACGTTATGGTGCTAATAAACCTAAAAACATTATCAGGGTGATTCTAGAATTCAAACTCATGATCATCATGATCATAGGTTTCTGGCACACCTAAGGAACACAGCTCTGCACAGCGAATTATCATGATTATAGTGCCTTAGAAAAAAAGGCCATGCAAGCCCCAATCAAATAAATAGTTAAATAGAAATATAATTAATAAAGTGCATTATTCAGGTTAGTATGTTCATAAAATGGCAGTAAAGAACTAAACTTGAACAAACAAAAAACAGTGTGTCATCAACATGGTCATTGTACCCAGACTATTCATGCTATTGGGAATGGTACTCTTGTATTCAAAATGTCTGTCCCAGAGTTTACACTTACTCAAAACCTCTTTGGCCTATAACTCCATACCTAAACTAGAAAACAATATTATTTCACCACATAACATAGCCACATGCAGAATAAAAAAAAAAAATATTCCAAAAGGCATTCTTGAAATGCACATTGTACACTGGGGTCAACTTTATGTATTTGTAACCACCGTTCGTCTATAGACAGTCATGTATGTTGTCAGGCCTGCAGAATACAGTGGTACGCCTGGACACTTGAGCCCCTTGACCACTGACCCAGCAAATCAGTTGGCGACACCAGCTCAGTAAAATGAGCATTCTTTTCAAATGAGGGGAACAAAGCACAGTTTACATTTCCTGCAGTCAAGTGTAAAAGGACAGACCTATACTAATACAACCGAAACAAATATTTGAGCAATCCTGTTATTTGTAGTTATCCGATGATCACTAATTCATGTTGAATACCCGTGCCCATGCAACCATCAACATACTGATTAGCTACACAGTCTGTGTTGACAATCATGAGAGACTGTAGACATTTACAGGGGTTAATTCTTTGCTTTGTATTTCAAGTCATGAGGTATGTCTTCATGTAGGGTTGTAAGTAGCCATCACCAATAATAATTTTGTGACCTTAGCGACTTGTCAAAATTATCTTGCTCTTTCTTATATATATAATACCAGTATGAAGACTATGATTACAGCTCAGGACGAGTGTCTAAAGTCAGAAACTGAAGATTCATGTCCATATATTCATCATGCAAACCGCCTTGCTTTAGATAACAAAAATACTTTTAGAAAGAGAAACAAAGTCATAGTCCTGAATGTTTGCTTACATGGCATAGACCACTGAGTAAGCCCTCGAGAGTGATCAATGTGTAATTATATGTAAATATAACAAGCAAGCATGACTTCTGTGCTAGTTGTCAGTGTAAACATGGGAAAGTGGTCAAACAGCTGTACAGACAGTATCTCTTCTTCCTTGTAGTGACAGCATGTAGACATCTTAATGGCCAAACCCTGGGGCAGTTTTAACAGAGATATTGACAAGGTATTGTACCACACAAAAGCAGGCTTGATTCCTTGACCTACTGGTCCAGATAGACAACATTAAGATCCACAGACACCTTCCTGCACTTACTGACAGGGCACCTGAGACAAATACTGACAGGTTAGGGTGAAATGGGTTACAGTGCAAACAATAGTTTTAAGAGTTTTAGTGTCTCAATTTCAGCCTATATACCACATGGAGTGATTGTTGTTTTACACCCAAGTCAGCAACATTACAGCTTTATCACAGCCGCAGTTTCAGACTTAATCCACTAGTCTGAAGTTCAATTCTGTGTAAAATTCTGTTCGGTGTTCAGCTAATAGTCCACATCACTAAAATCTACTGATGATGACGCCAAATTCAACTTCAAAAAGAGTTGTTTAGGCAAGTAGACTCAGCAGAGACTGCAGCTGCCTGTTAACATTAATGTCTTGGCCAGGGAAACCAATGGTTGGCAGCCTCAGCAAATATCCACTGTTGGGATATGGTAACACACAATCAGCCAGGTGCCCACCTGATACTGACTTAGTCACCTCTTATGACAAGCATGGGATGTTGGTGACAAGAGAATCCATGTGAGTCACACCACATGGCATCAAATGCGTACTCTGTATCATGTATCTATGCTATTCCCAGTGTTCCAAATTAAGCATGAAAGCCGAGAGGTCCTTGTCACAACCATAATGTTAAAATGTAGAGATTTAGGGGGTCTCTAGATTCAAATATCACAGTAGAAGACCTGAAGTATTCCAGGACACCCCATTCATTTCAACACTGTACTCCCCTATTGCTAACAATTATTATGTTAGAGCCCTTTTGGAAATAATAACAATAATAAAAGTAAAAAAAAAATCAATTCGTATGGCGCTGTACTCTAGCATAAGCATGCTCTGAGCGCTTAGACATTTATTACCCTGGTTAATGGATCAGTGTGCACTCAACAATCATTCTCAGCTCCCTGGGAGTATACAACCCAAGCATCATTTCCCGATAGTTTTTTTGTCCATAAACAAAGGAATCTTTACACTATGTCTGAGTCACATCATCTACATGACAGAATACTTAATTGATAAATGTGCATTGCCTTCCAACAGTGGCAGGATATTATTGGGTCATTTGTGTGTCAGCTCTGCAAGAACATATCAAGTACAGAAAGAGATTATATACTGCATATTGCCAATCACTTACTTTTTCATTTTCTTGGTACTATATCGAACTTGATATGCTGTTTTGAGAAGGAGCTCAGTGTCATTTTCATATTTTGCGCGAACATCTTTTTGAAAGTACTGGAAAGAAAAATATAATCACATCAGTCACTACTTTGTAGCATGTAGAAACCAATGCCACTGTCAACCTGATACGGACAATAGTTCAGTGACAACTTCATTGATATACTCTCAATAATAAGCTACTTCTCTCCCTACTCACGGACAGGAAATAGCCAGCTTCCTGTTGCCTGTAGAGTTGATCAGGGAAATATTGAGCACTCTTCAACATCACTGTGACTTATATCGATGATATTCCACAAGCACAGTGTGATAGGTTTAATGCTGCTTTGAACAGCATTTCACATGTTATGTCAGCTTATTGTAGATGGGAAGCATTATTGTTGTTTGTTGGTTTGTTGTTTAACGCTGTGCTCAGCAATATTCCAGCTCTATAACAGTGGTCTGTAAATAATCAAGTCTGGACCAGACGAACCAGTGATTGACATCATGAGCATCGATCTACGCAGTTGGGATACAATGACATGCATCAACCAAGTCAGAGAGCTTGACCACCCGATCCCGTTAGTCGCCTCTTACGACAAGCATGGTCGCCTTTTACGGCAAGCATGGGTTGGAAAGCTTTAAGTGACACAGGTCAAAGTTGTTAACTACTATGGTGAAACAGGGATGGAGCTGAAAAAGCAGTGATCATAATCATGGAGATTCAAAAACTCAAGCCAATGATCACTGGATCCTGGCATATCTAAGGGGTGTCACTCTGCAAACTGTGACTCCTCAGACAACACCGTGCCCCCTAAGAGATGATGATGATGTTTATGATGATGATGATGATGGAGAAGAATAGCAGTAAGATTACCTTAAGCATGCCCTCCATGTCAAGAGACATCAGGTCCTCGTGACTAGTCTGTAGAATGGCCATCCCCACTCGGAATATCATCTCCATCCCCTGCACACACAAGGCCAATGAGTTCAGTCCAGAATGTGGGCTTTCCAGATTAATGGGGCTTTCAGTGAATATACATCATTTTCCACCCATATAATCAATGTTTGAAATTAAGCAGGAAAGTCGAGGTGCCCTTTTTATAACCCTAATGTTCAAAGCTAAGATTTAGGGGATCCTTAGATTTAAACACCATAGAAGATCTCAAGGACACCAGCACCCATGTCGTAATCCTTCACAATCACTATCTCTTTGATGCAAAAGACAAGTTTAGAAAACATCAACATTTTAAACCAAGGGAGGTAATTCTCAGGAACCACTAGACATAAGTAAATATGGTTTCATTGTGCATTCATCTTCCCTTGCTTCTATCTAAATCAAACTTGAAAAAAATATCAGGAAAGAATAGATCCTAGATGCTTTTAGTACTGCATATGAAAAGACATTTCCCATGAGGTGCTATGGATTTGGATTATACTACATCTTTCCGTTTTGGCAACAGTAAGAAATGATTCTCATTTAGGACAATGGACTTTAGGACAATGGATGCATATTAGCTGACTCTTATTCAGTGATGTCAAAATTTTCAGTTCCCCCCCCCAAAAAACCCCCCAAAAAAACCAATTATCTCCCAGAGATGCCAAGCCCAATTTGAGGTAAATAGGAGAATCTTGGATACTTTGGATACTCTTGATTAATAATTTCAACAAAATAAATAGTTGTCATCATTAGCATGATTGACTGAATTTCTCAAAAATACATCATCTTCAACACTACATAAACCAAATTCCTAAAACTATGTAAACATGACAAGATAAACATATATGTCAATACCTTGTATAATTTACATGCATCACACACTAGAATGAACATAATCAGTTTTTGACAAATATTTCATAGAACTACATTACACAAGGTCATATCAACAAGCTGTTCATGGTTTTTTTAAATCATGCTTTTTACATTTGTCACAACCACTTTGATAGTGTAATCAGTGTCTAATATAAATCACTGGTGCAATGTTTCGCCAAAATTATCAGTATATTTCCTTTGACCTTATTGGCTGAAATTTTCTGCAGATATCGTAATGATTCCATCAAAATGGCAATGATCTGCATCTCTGGTTGCTGTGTACTGGTGTGTGAGCCAAGAGCTACTTCACCAAGTGGGCTGATGTTTTGTTCTCACCTCTGATATGAATATATCCATGATACGGCAGGCAAGAGACAGTGGCAGTGACGTGGTAAAGAGCGTCAGGAACCACGAGGATGCGTACATGGAGGTGTGGAAGTTCTGAGTCTGAAAGTGCAGGTACAAGTCCGGCAGCAGTTCCTGGAACAATGTATAAACACAAGTCAGCAAACAACACGCATGTTGACATGTGCAGCACACTTAACAGTTGCCACTAATCATCTGCAGTCTGCAACTTAAGTCGCAAGGTCGAGACAACTAAACTTTCTTTCTGTCTAGTAAGCTAATAGCACCTTGATTGACACTGCAAGCTACTTAAAATGTGATAAAAAGTTGGGTTGGGTTTACAGACTGCATCTGATGAAGGTTTATATACATGTGTATTTGTATGGGCAAAAGTATGCTTCCTTTGATATGCAATGAACAGGAGATCAATTATTGATAACATACTTAAATGTACTACAGATCAAACACATCTGTATTATCAATTTGTAAACTTGATCACTTTGTAAATTGATGTAGATGTTGAATTTACAAACCATATGGAAGCTCTTTGTTATACAAATGTCTCAGCAACAACACAAGCAGGTAATGGCCATTGCAGAGACCGCAGAATACATGGTGTATATTCATTGGTAATTTTTTTCCACTAGTAATCCATGAACATGATCTCAGTCTTAGACTAACAGTTCTAGGTTCACGTCGACCACTGGTAATCCATTAATACAAGAGCTGCCAGACATATACCACATATTGAGTACTTGCACATAGTTAGTTGGTTACATTAGTCTGAATGAGTGAGTAAGCAAGCATTGTTTTACACACCTTTTGCAACATTCCAGCAATATCATGGCAGAGGACATACAAAATGAGTTTCACTTATTGTACCCATGCGGGAATCGAACCCAGGTCTTCACTACAACAAGCAAATGCTATAACCACTTGGCTTCCCCAACTCCCCACTAGTTTGCATGAGATGCAAGTCATCTCGATTTAACTCCATAACAGCTGCATGCCTAGTCTGTCTCCCAAACCCTACAGAATTAAAATATATCCAACTCAAGAATGATTTGGCAAGTCTAGATAAAGCATTGTTTCTGGCTCCATTTGGCTTATATTTTTTTACTTTATAGATATAGTCTGAGACTTGCAAATCCGTAGCCCAGGTCTAGTATTAAAGTTCACACATTAACATTAAGATCTGAAATTGTTTATATACAGACTTGATATATAAGATAACTTTATCTCTGGGACTAGATACAGCAGCATGCAGTGTGTGTGACTGACCTGGATGAGGCACTCCAGCTTGTACATGCACAGCCCCAGCTCCGCCATGCTGGGCTTGAACATCTCCCTCATGCGGAACTCCTGCATCAGGCGGACTAGGACAGCAAATGCTTCCTCCTCTGGCATCTGGGGACACAAACACAGTTTCAGAACACCATACATGAAGGTGGACAGCAGCAAGTGTATTTGTTAGCTTAGCCGATTTGTGCAGAGGAATATGGGCCTTTCATGAACATTACAGTGTTTGACTCTGACCAGAATATGACAGGTGCTGCTAGTCCAAAGGACCAGCACATGGAAAAATCTACTGCTCCTGTTGAATCTCTACTGGACACAATGGTGATGACCAAAACAGGTCTTAAATTGCAGATACTTTATCATGTTCATACAACAAGTGAGTGTGCACAAATAGAATGAGAAACCAGTCAAGAAGGTAACCTTTATACCACACAGGGTTGTTTGGTATAAACAAGTCTGTTTAGGTTGTAGGTTTCGCTTAAGAGATTAGAGTCAGTCTGTCACCAATTTCAAAAGTCATGTAAACCTATTTAAAATTCCTTTGTTTGTCCCAAAAATAACACTAAATCACCAGACCATGCAGACCAGCATCTATTAAATTTTCCTTTTCCTTTTGGAAATATACTAGACTTGGACCAGCAAACCAGTGTGAATGTCAAACACTGCATTATGGTCATGAATTTCAAATGCTTGTAACATTCAGTAATTAACTTCATACAAATATTTCCTGTCCACTGTATTTGCCCCCTTTATCCTTAGGTTGAATTCTGTTGCATTTTTACTTGCAAAACACAATAAAAGCCACAAAAGGCACCCTTATTACGCTACCTACAGAATGAAGTGCAGGTCTGTTAAGAAGGAAGGCATCTATTCACATTTCTATGACACAACATTTCACACTGACATAATGAATATCGCATGACCATTTGAAACCCCTGATTATAGAACAGACAAACTAGCAAGCAAGAGTTTAAAATAACTAATCATTCAATGATACAGAGCATTCTTATACCTTTTGGCAAAATACAGGGTAGGCCCTTCCATAAACAGACATAACTGTTTTTGATTAACTTGAGTTTTGGGTTGAAGATAAAGATATTCAGCTTACAGGACCACCTAGCATTGAGAATTGAGACATTCACCATTGTGATGAACAGAGCTGAGTAATGCTGTAGACTTGTCTATGGCCAATACACTAAATGACAGGTGCTGCTAGTAACATGAGTATAGTTGGGAAAGTTTAATCAACACCTGGTGCCACATAGTATGATATTAAATGTAAGATTCCAGCTATATATCATGGTGGTCAGTAAATAATCAAGTGAAGACCAGACAGACCAGAGACTGATATTATGAGCAACACCCTATGCCATCAAGGCAGAATGACACTCAAATTACCTGGCCTGACCCACCAATCCACAACCAACCCACTTTGGTATTCCAACCAAGAATGTCACTGCAATGAATCTCGTATATAAAAAGGCAATAGGATCTTTATATTAAACACATACTTTTTGTGAGAGAGACAGGAGCTTGAATACCGCTATAGCATCGATGCTTGAATTTACCTGCATAAGTAGAAGTCCCACGATGAAGCCGCTGCCCTGACAGTACCCAACCTCCCGGTCGTGGAGAGAGTACGCCTGCAACACAAAACTAGGATCAGAGGAAGCAGGACTGCCAGCAACAGTGCAGTAAACTAATGCCATGTACACCAATGCCATCTAGCATCAACAGTGCAGTAGGCCAATGCCATGTACACCAATGCCATCTAGCATCAACAGTGCAGTAGACCAATGCCATGTACACCAATGCCATCTAGCATCAACAGTGCAGTAGACCAATGCCATGTACACCAATGCCATCTCGCATCAATGGTGCAGTAGACCAATGCCATGTACACCAATGCCTACACGCATCAATAGTGCCCTATGATACAATGCAGCAGTTGATAACATGAGCAACATCCAGTGATAGGGGTACGGTGGCATGTTATCCAACTAATCCACCTCGTCACCTAATACGACAAGCATAGGGGACCTATTCTAGCCCGGAACCCCCACAGAGTGTGAGTGATTAAGCATCCAGCAAATTATTAGACATCAGTCAAATGAATATAAGAACACATACAGGTAAATTAATGACAACTGAGAAAATTCTCTAAGATTCATGAGCCAATGAATAATGACCTTATTCATGTGTTGTATTTTATCATTGAGGTAACAATACTATAGTCCTATCAATCATAGCATCAACATTTAATGAATCATTACAGTTCTAGTTCGTCATAGAAATAGTTCACAGAAATTTACTACCAGTCATTATACTGTCATGCACATAACAAATATGTCCATCTTCTCACCTTCATGACATTGAAAAGACTTTCTTGTCCTAATCCATCCTTCTCCTTGAAGAAATCGTGATCAGGGAAAGTCCTTGCAATATCTCGGCGAATAAGTTTCTCACACGGTGAGGTTTTCTTGAGATATTCTGCGTACAGCTGTTTGAACTGAGAGTCGTTCACACCAAGCAACAGCTGCCAGGCTAGACCACGGAAATGGTGTGGAATCCCTTTCCGAACCAATTCCTGAGAAAGAAGAAACGAGTTCGTGAATGAAGTATGGTCTGTAAATCATTGAATCTGGACCAGAGAAACCAACAATTGAAATCAGGAGCTACAATGCTTTACTTCATTTCCAAGAATTTTACAGATATCACCTTGTTGCACATGATCAGAAGCCTGAAGCCTATTGTAGATGGGGATTACAATGTCAGATTGCAGAAAATCAACCACTGACACACTGAACATTGAGTGTATTTCATACCAGATTAGAATATGTCAGTTATATGTAACATGCAATCTACAATTTTTATAAATTGTATTGATTCAAACAGCCATACTTTTTGTGTTCCCCAGAACTTTCAATATAAATTATAGGCATCCATTCTCAGCTTGTAAGCAAATATATTGTAATATTTTGCATCTGGTACAACTCTTCAAGTCACATTGTAACAACTTGATTTCCACATAGTCAGTTCTTCAAAAAAGCAGGATCAAGTCTGCCTCCGTGAGGGAAAGTGGGAATAAATCATTACTTCCATGTTTACAGATACTTAAATGGTCGTGTGAAGTATCTTAGAGTTATCTCCCCTTAGATCACAATACAACACAATACAACCCCTATCAATACAACACAATCTCATTAAAATCAGACCTTATAATCTGATACAATACCTCCCTGTATTAATATCTTGGGACACCTGCATAGACGGTTGCATCAGGTGAATCCTGAGCGAACTTTGACTGCCCAATCTAAATTAAGCCTGCATGGGTTCTTGAGCCAAATAGCCATCAGCTTTCTAAAACGACTCAGAATTATTTTTTTCCACCTCCAGTGTTCCAAAATTAAGCATGAAAGTCAAGGTGTCCTTCTCAAAACCCAAATGTTAGTTAAAATTTCAGGGTGTCCCGAGATTCAAATACTACAGTAGATCTAAAGGACCCAAGGGCCCCATTTTATTTCAATGACCTACCCGGTACATTTGAAAATTTTTGATTTGTACAACTGAAAACCACAGAGAACACAAATATTACTTTGATTGAACTTGCTTTTGTGTGTACATATCCACAACAATATAATGAGGGTGTTATACTATCTTCTGTTAGAATTTGTCGTTTGAGTTTGTTTGTGAGATAAAGAAATGCAGTTTTGCTGGTTTGAACACTCGTACTGAGAATTTAGATGCCTTTAGATGATATATTGATATATTGTGATACTTTTGAGTCAATACATATTCATACTAAAATGTCCAATCAATGCCAGCCCCAGCAGAGATATGATTGAACATCAATGTGATTATGTGATTGCTATATAAGTAATACATTATCATGATTATGAAGATCATGACACAAATCCTATGACAAGATAAACCAAATCTTAATATTTGAGTATTCACGAACAACTGAAGCATATTACTAGATGCAAGATTTTTCTTACGAGATTTTCCCAGGAGTTAATACACGTTTCAAGAGGAACCCTATAATTAAAGCTTCTTCAAGCCTGTACGAATCCTGTCACCACAGGAAATGACGGCCCTGAAAGTGTCCCTACCTTGATGTAGCCTGTTTTCTTCTTGATACTGTCCCACTCGTTGACGAGACGCCCCCATGTCTCCCATAAGTTTTCAGATGGATTGGCAGCTGAAATACAATAAATGAAATAGAACTCTAGCTGCATAATATATGGTCACAGCCTGTTCAATATGAACCCTCATACCCAAGTTTACTGTTAATATTTGGTTATATTGATAACCCCAAAATATGCTTTTGATAATGATGGACCACATGTTTCAAATCTTACTGAGCAAACATAATCTAATGAGGGCTATGAAACATCAGTGTTGTACTTTTCTCTTTGTCAATAAGTAAAAGAGTATGCGCTTTTTAAAACCTCGTTCAGCTATATTCTAGCCATATTGTGTCGAGGATATCATGAATGTGCTTCAATCATGCGGGGAATCAAACCCATGTTTTTGACAAAATGAGCCAAAGCTTTATCCACTATCCCATCGATCTCATCTCAAATACAACAATGGCTAGGCACACAATACCCTGATGTCTGTACTTCCAGCCATTACAATGCAAAAGCAGTTACATTTATGTTTTCACACTAAGTGACCAAATAATAAATCATCCAAGTCGATAGCTGAAATCCAGTTCACTCACTCCCTTGTGAACATAAAGTCATGAAAATGCTGGAAAATACATTTATAAGCAAGCTGTCAGCTCAATATCCCGGAAACATGCTCCATGACAGACAGCACCAATACAGGCAGGGAGGTGAGGGAAAGTAAAGACCTGTCATAATGACTCGAGAAGTGTCAAAACACCACTATGGTCAACAGTTGACATCAGAGGCCACGGCAAGAATCAGGACAGGACAATCAAGTGATTGATGTTATGAACAACATTCCACACCGCTGAGGTACAATGACTCGCCATCAACCAAGGCCCCTGAGTCTGACCACACAATCCATTAAGCCACTTGTACGGCCAGCATAGGTTGCTAAGGACCTATTCTATCCTGGAATTCTCACAGGGTACCTGAGATAAATACTGAATGTCGGAACCTTTATTTTCCTCAATGGGGTTCATTTGAGGGGAGAAACCTTAAGCTTACGATCACATTGACATTTCATTAGTGAATGGCAAAGACTTCTCACTGGACAAATGCAATCCTAGACTAACATATTCAGTCCCTGAAAAAAAGTTATGTTTAAAATTAAACAAAATCATTCTACAAGTACTACAGCTTCCTTTAAGTCTCATAATTTCAGGCGAAAGGGGGATGAGAGTGGAATGGGGAGCAAATATCTTATTATAGAAAGGGAGTATGGATTGTGTACGAGACAAATCCAGTCCTAACAGTCTTCTAACTAATTTATCAAGTGAGGTTTATCATGTTTACCTATTCCACATAAGCATCCAGAGACTGATTCAGACAAATAGCCTTTAACATGTTTAATAATCTGTTCATGTTCAACAACATGGTGCTTAATATGAGAGTTGGAAAACATTTCAAATCCATAGTCACAACACTGGTCTGTCAACAAGTGTCAAGACACAAGACAATTGTTTTGTCTTTAATCCATATAGCAATATTTTAAACTGGCAATGTCCAAACCAGGGATGCACCACATTACACAAGGCTGCCCATATCATTCATATGTATATGAAGAATCACTACATCCCATGGCAATATTTACCTACTATCACAGTCTGTGACTTTATAGTCAGAAATCTTTGGTCTTGTAAGCTAGTAAGCTCAGATAATCGTGTTAATGATAGTATGTTCAATCTGTAGGTTCAGTCCAGATTATAAATGTCTGAGTAATGACTTGAGACAGACTGACTGTAACAGTCTACCTGTACCTCTGTCAATATGCTGAACAAAGCTGATGAATAACGAGGATGAATATTGAGGATGAATAATACGAATGAATGAACAATGCTACAATCCTGATGAACAATGCGGATGAACAATGCAATGCTGATGTGGGTGAATGTATGATCTACATATACTTAAGATGGTGAATATGGTTTTACACTGCTTTTAGCAGTATTCCAGCAATAATGGCTTTACACATTGTACCTATGTGTGAAATCCAACCAGCGTGGCAAGCAATGCTTTAACCACAAGGCCATCCTATAGCCCCGATGACATCATAGACAGTATGAAAGAAATAAAACCATTGTAGAAGTGCCTACCAATAGTAAATGTACACGAGCACTTATTGACCATGATGAACATAATAAACACAATTCAGGTGCAGAAAGTAGTTATCGCCATCTTTAGCAGTTATCAATCAGGATATGTATATCGAACAGACCTCAAATTACAGCAAGATTGCCAAACGTGTCAACATAACAACACTAGTAGCAATGATCACCATCAGCTACTGGGTGGTCGTAAAGCATCTTCCTGACTATAAAAGTCCAGTTTCCACCCTTGGCAAACCAGGCTGTAATTTCTGGACTCGATCATAGCGCCACCAGTGACTATTATGAGTTATGCCCCTTCAATGTCCCTTCTATTGACTAATCAGATTCCACCTCTCATATTATTTACATTTGCTTCAAACAAAATGGCGGCGCCTAGCTGAAACGATCTGATCGATAATCAAGATCTATATTGTAATAAAACGGGGCATTCCCCCGCGAAGTGCATCTGATCACTTGAGCACCTTGGTTAAAACATGAACAGATTTGCAAAATATCTCTCGACGCCCAGTTGACGGTACGCATACTTTGCAAATCCTGTAGTCGACTGAAATCTGTATGTTGAAATCCATGTAGTTTACAAACCGGATGTCTAGTTTGTTACGCGATTTTGACTGATCTATGCATGACCCGTTAATCAAGCTAAAATGTAACTCCGGAATCCTAGCCAAGTTCGGCAAGGGTGGAAACTTGACTTTTATGGTCAGTTAACGCCCTTGCCTCAGGAAGATGGTTGTAAAGTAACCTGATTGTTAATAAACAAAACTGCAAACAAACATTTTCCCACCTAAAAGATAATGTCCTCTCAAAAATCCATGTGTTAGTGTTATGACTGCACAGAAAACTTCATTCCCCTCAATTGTTTGCCTACATATCTTCCAGTTTAGTCCGTAGTTTAGTTCATGTGGCATTCATTCAGCTGACACAAAACTAGAGACACATATCTTCCATATCAAATATACACAGCCTTGTTTGAAACGAAGCAGTAAGGACCTAATCATTATCCTGATGTTAATACACTAGATTCATCTAGATTCATTACTATAGCTAAGAAACAAGATCCCAAGTATTTATTGAATTTACTACTTATTTGTGTAACATGGCACCCATCAATATTCCAGCTATATGACGGCAGCCTGTGATTATCATTCTGGGCCAGACAAACCAGTGATTGATACAGCGAGCAATGATCCTTGTTATCAGGGCACTTTGGACACTCGATGAACTCTACACTCAAGCACTGAGCCTGTCGACCCGGAAACATTAAGTCTCCTTATCATGCTTATAAGACAAGCATTTGTTGCTTAGAAGCAATTCGAACCCGGATCCCCATGGGGAAAACCTTACTAAATGATCATTCCAGATCCCAATACAAAAACGGAAACCCAAAGTCCAGTCAGTCCCATGTATTCACAGACTCCTTTATCTTGAAACGCAACTGAAATTCAAAACTAACTTCAACTTTTCTGTAATTGTTTTTCATGCGAGCAAAAACAATGCAAAGCAACTGCAACACCAGAAAATACAAAAATGACATGCATCAACAAATAGAATCAAGAAAACTAAACACATGATTTGATTCTAGGACAACTGTAACCAACTTCACAAGAATGGGAAATGATGTACTCATTCACAGAACTCAATAGAACGTGATGTCCGACATACCTTCTTCCATCTTAGTGGGACGGCCGAAAAAACTTTTTCTCATCATCACTTCACTGACGCAGCATTTTCAGAATAAAACAAAATTCAAAACATTCCATTCCTATTCATAGTGTCATATCTAAAAAATCTATGGTTATTTGTGAACAATGCATTTTCTGCAAATGCTCGCAAAATATTTTATCTTTTTAATTTTTTTGTCATGGTTAAATTTCTGACAAGGAAACAATAATCCGACCTTAATTATAGCGCCTTGCTCGAGCATGGGATTCAAGGAAGTAATAGTGTTTCAATACTGATTACCAGATAACTGAAAACACCACTGAAATAGGACAGGGTGTCCTTCTTTGATAAAAAGGAGGGAAAACATTTTATTGTATTTCATTTCAGTCTTTAATTGGTATGGATGTATTGTGCATAACTGTTAACATCTGTTTGAAATTTGTTACATTGTTTGAATTCTGAATAAGAAGAAATAGTTGTTTTGTCTACTTATTCTAAATGTTCCATATTATGTACATGTTAACCTCATGTGTTTGGTTTGAAAGTATTTACCAGTATCTGTAGACAGATGCCATGAAGATAATATACACACATGTCTATCAAGGTGAAAAAGAGAGAAACAGGGTCTGTAGCTCACCTGGCTCTAACTTAAGTTGCATATCCATAAAAAAATCACTTAACTAGTGACAAATGTGATTGAATACTGGGTAAATATGGTATGTTGTCTATGTTATCTGCATGTCATGTATCATGTAGCTTTACATAAAAGATTTGGTAAAATCAATATCGTGGAAATTGAAAACAAGCCTAAGTGAGATTGTTGGCATTCTTGCTCATGCACAGTTTCAGCTTCATAGGTCCTACAGTCTAAGACAAAGCAAATTTATATAGTAGTAGACATGTCTTGGAAACATTAACCAAAAGTATACGTAATTGAACAGTTGAAGGTTTCAAAGTTAATTCTCTTCTTGTTTTATCACAATTTTGAAGTACATTCAGCATCACAGTTCTAGCATGGGACGACTGTCAAAATTATTTTAAACATGAGAGAAGTTATTGGTGTGAAAATCCATGCAAAATCTGATACTCTATTCCATAAATACATAGCTATATCTAATACAAGATCATGCATGAAATTAGATAGGCCTATCATTTCCCTAAACTCTTTCAGAGGCTCAAGACACAACTGAAGAGCACTTTGACACGAAAATATGACTTACTCTGTATTGACCATAACTGACTCGCTCCAATAGCATGCACTTGGACAGGAATGTAGTAGACTTACCATGCTTACTCATCTTAAAAGAACCTGATTTCCTCGTCATATTTTCTTGCACCCAGTCCGAACAGAGTTACAAGTGTACAACCAGCACAGAAATAGCAGTTACCTCCTACTGTTACGGTATGATAGCCAATATTTTCATTCATGCTATGTGGATCAAGCAATGTGCTTCCACAAAAAACATCACCCCACTGCATGACCCACATTTAGCCACAATACTGCCCATCACTTTCTAGTTCCTGTTTCCTGCTTGTTGGAGGACATATGAACGACTATGGTGACATATAAGCGACTATGTTGACATATGAACGACTATGTTGACACTGTAACAAGGTCCCTGGGGAAGTGAGAGGTAAGAGACTATTACTGTTGACCATACACCATTAGGGGCATTAAATGGCATATTATGATATTATAAGTAATATATCAACCAGTAATTATTGCTATCAGGGAAGTAAAAAAAGACACAAACTACGCTCACGAAACTTAGTCATACACGCCATTATTATTAGAACTTCCTTAAATATTTTACAAGTGAAGATCTTCAGGGCATTATATCTTTATCAGGTTTTGTGAAATTATGGTATTTTTCGAGCTAAAATGCCTTATTAATTTCTATCATGAAAATAATTCTTTAATATTAACATATACAACCAATCCGATAATTGCTCAATATTTGTTTGCATGCCTCTGACTGAACTTGTGTAGTGACTTGTATCATGGACACTAATACATTTAGCATCCATGCTTGTATCTCAACAAGTACAAGGGAGGCAACTCTGTTGCCACCTTGTATTGTCAGGCCTCCCAGTTATTTTATGCTGGGAGCCAATCACCTCATTCTTAAATACATGCAGGGGGCATTTGTGATAATTTCAGATGCTAAAATGCATGACCCAATTCAAAACCTTTTCCATCTAAAGAACCTTTTCACCAAAACTTGTCATGATTTAAGGTTGCAGGTACAGCATACGTACACATTGATGGGCAAAAATCGGTGTTTTCTATCCATCAAATGTTCCAGATACATAGCCAAATGATTTAGTTTGTATGAAACCTATACTGAAACTAAATGTGGTTTTTTTGGAGGTAATGAATATATATACTGAGTTAGCTGAAGTCGTTGTAGATCTGAGAAATCTGCCCAGTGATAAAGGATTTATGTGTCTTGCCAGTGAGCAAGAAAGTCTTTCCTTTGTTTATTTTGCTTTATCATTATATTAAGAAAGTCATCGAGTCACACTAAAAGACTGGAAGACCTGAAGTAACACATGGCCTAAATATGTCACATTGAAATTACAAGTCTGCCCACGTCAGCAGTGCAATGCTTGTTTATACATATCTTCCAAAACAAATCAGCTCCTTGATTAAACTTTGTACAGTGTTTTTGTTACATAAAGCTACATCCATACTGTTTCTGAAATGGTCACTCGACGGCAGCCCTTCAACACATGCTTAAATACTGTGTTGCTTTCCTTGATCCAAAGACTCATGTCAGGAATAAAAGTTTTGACTGCAGTCTCCATCTAAGTACCATCCATTCTCAGCAGCTGACATATTTAACATCAGCCACTTTTCTAACATCCATATAAAAGGGTTAGATGAAGATGGCATCAGTGATGTTGTTTGTTTGTTTGTTGTTTAAGGACGCACTCAGCAATATTCCAGCTCTGTAAATAATCGAGTTGGATCAGACAATCCAGTGACTGGCATCATCAGTGATCATGAGCATCGATCTACACAGTTGGGATACGATGACATGTATCAGCTAAGTCAGAGAGCCTGACCACCCGATCTCGTTAGTCGCCTCTTACGACAAGCATAGTCACCCGTTACGGCAAGTAATGGGTTGCTGAAGACCTATTCTAACCGTGATCTTCACGGGTACATCAATGATGTGATACACTTGTCCATCATATGTCTGATCATCGTCAGCACTTCACGGGTTTCCACTCTACACGTCTCTATCCCCTGTGAATACGAACAGCCACTAGTAAAGCTACAATTTTTAATAAGCGAAACAAGATAAGGCCTGGTTCTAGCGAGAACTTACTCAGTTTACATTGCACAAACAGCAATGGTTCTCACTTGCAATTGACTTGAAGCCATCTATTCTATACACTGCTTGATTGTCATGTGATCATTTGACTGCCATGCTTTACACACAGCTTCATTTTACTGTATTTACAGGTGATGGAGGATTGTTGTGTACACAAACTTGTGAAGTATTGATGATGATGTCTGACTTAATTTGAAACATTTGGTCAATAAATGCAATATAGTTGGGAAGCAATCATCCAAACCTTCTTGAACATGTTGAATAATTACCAGCTGAGTGAAAATAACTGCTGAAAAACTTAGAACCCATTCATAAGGTTGTTATTTGTCAACAAGAAAGCATATACTTAAAAAAATGGTGAAAAGTATATACATATGTTGATAGAGCCAATGACGCTTGGTATCTTGGGGCAATCCTTCATAACAAGCAAGGGGTATATCCTTTATCCTACATGATCAGTGACAAAAATATCATGCTTTGAAATATCCTATCACTAGGTGCTACAGCAATAAGAGACCATTGTTAAATATGTTTATGACCAATATTGTTCATGAACTATTGAACATGAAAGCCAAAAAAACGAAATCATAACATACCTCATTCTTGCAAACAACCAAAAGTATTACGTGCTGTATGATATGTAAATAGATTTGACAACTGGCTCCAACATGACACATGACACATGAGTTCTGCATGCTTCAATGCCATGAATATTGTAAAGATGAATACATAAAGGTAGATAACCAAACGTCAGATCACATAATGACAATTCTCAGATTAATTACAGTCTGTGCCTAAACCTTCTGTAAAAAGAATTCACTATCAGGCAATAGCATTATCTTATCTATTTTATCTTCAAATCCAACATGTCGCCCAGCATCAATTTCAACAGATTTTATTCTTTCACAAAATCAGCTTCCTGTATTAAAATGTAACTTCAATTACCCAGAAATTATTTATTATTTTTACGAGTCTGCAAAAATGATCTGCTTGTCATTTATCTAATGCAATGTTGGGGGTCCTTGGGTCCTTGAGGTCTTAACCACTATCTACACATAATGATCTGGGGATCCCCTACATCCTGAACATTAGGGTTAAGATAAGGACCCTTTGACTTGCATGCTTAATTTCTAACATTGTAATATGTAGGAAACGTGATGGTCAAGAAGGAAATGTCACAAGTCTCACACTAGCAGGTTTATGCTAATTTCGAACAGCCAGAAGAAACAATACTAGTCTAGGATTGGTTAAAGACACAGACTGATTGATGAACAGTAATACCTCACACAGAACATGCAGTTAGTGAGAGACTCCTGCGTAACACTCACCTGCCTCCTCCTCGTAGGAGACTTGAGCGCTGTAGTGGCTGTTTGAGGAAGTGGTAGAGATCACACTAGAGCCAGAGCCTTTCCTTGAGTGCCCAGGGGTGGGGGAGCGAGCTACCAGGGCGTTGCAAGACTTCTCATCAGCTTCCAGTTTCCTGCAACATCAGTTCTAGCCAATTTATTATCTTAAGAAGTGAGGCCACAGTTTATAAAGTTTTCATGACTTTTGAATAATTTTACTTGAGAGGTGGTTAAAGTATTGTAATTGCATCCAGAGTGACACAGTTTGTTAATAGATTATGCATTACACAGCTGCCGGTGGTCAAATGCAGTAAACTGACTCATGCTTTCAGAAGAGAGTGTCACACTATGTTGTAGTGTGTCTGTGAAAACAAATACCACAAACTCATTACTGAGCAAATACCACCATCAGCAGATACACTGAGGCCCCCAGATAGAGTGTAACCTTAATGAGTTTATTGGTTTGAACTCAAAAAGGTTGAAGTTGAAAATTCAAACATGACAAATCATTAAAGAAATAAATTTAAGCTGTTTAAGAAAATTACACATTTTTTCTGAAATATACCTAAAATAAATATTTAACTAAAATAAAAGCCAAATTGTAAAGGCAGTCTTTGCCAAAAACTCTTAAGTCTACCAGCCTGAACTTGTATCTTTCATTATTGTCAGTTGATTTTAGGGTTATAAAATAGACTACATGTAGCAGCTTGACCCAGGTTTCAGACTAGTGGCTAAAGTCTCAGGCTGTAAATTGGAAGAGGACGACTGAAATGTGTCACTGAACTTTTTCACCAAGAAATGAATTTACACAAATAACTGTCCCTAAGCCTAATAGGCTAAACCAGCGAATGTCATATTGACACATAGTCATGTTGTTACAGACAAATTGATTATTTCATCATTGATCATTGTAGAAGGAAAACCTAATCTGAGCTGTCAAGTTAAGGATTACAAGTCCACACTCCTTATAGGAAAATAAAATAGATACTGTTAATTATTTAGATACATTATCATCACTCCATGTCAGAATGATCTTGATGAAATACTATGAATCCCCCCCCCCTGGGAGGGAAATAAATTTCTGAGCGGGAGAATAAATCCCTTATACCCCGCCACGAAGAAGACAGGCTACACATGGATTTCTGAACTGGAGAATAAATCTCTTATGCTTTTTCCGAGTCAATGAAAGTCATGTGACAGGGCACAAGTTAACCTCAGCAAATTTTAATTTGTTTTAATTCTCTTACAAAGGCTGATTAAAACATGTCGGTAAGATAGATTTGTTGTAGCAGTATCACTCAGGGTACATACAGCTTTTATGCGTCTCTCCAGTTCATGGAATACAGAACTCATAAAACCACATGTACTCCACATGGTACTGCTACAACTTATAATGTCTACCTGATTTTGACACCACATCCACCAAATTCAAAGATGTATTTAGAGCACCAGATAAGCTTTTGGTGTTGTGGGTATTTTACCCATGCATTTATTTTAATAAAATCATTGGGTTTCAGTAATTCTATCTGGGTATTCAAATTTCTGTTACCCACTAGTTTTTACCATGTTTACACATGTGGGTATTTAAGTTAAATATTTAAAAACGCTATTCATCTAGTCCCTGCAAACTAGTGTCGTGTGGGTTCGAGAGCTTTATAGGACTCAAAAATACCACGATACTTCCACAAGAAAGTGTGATGGCAAATGATCGTGATGTAACTGTCATCGTGGAGTTTGGTAAGGTTGACGGAATGCCAGTTTATAATTTCAAAATAAGTTGCTGATTTGCTAATCGAATACTCAGGGTTACTTCACAATATTTTGATGATACGCACAAGTTTTATTTTTGTAGCTTATCTGTAATGTTCATTGCGTATTTGATACGCTTGGATTTTATTTTACTGCATATTTTTGCATTTCTGATGCGTATTTTATGCAGATACGCAGCTTATCTGGAGCTCTGAGTATTTTCAATTTCACACACTTTAAACACCAACTTCCATGTCGATAATTATAATCCTAGACAACATATTTACAAAGCACAGAAAGTAAGTGTTTATTCTCTGGCTGTTCACCACTGCAAACAGTGATATTTTACACTTAGGCCAGTTACAGCTTCTGTGTGTCCAAATCAAACAGATTCTCAATCTCCCCATCTCTCTGTTCACCTGTGACCATGTCTAACACAGGCAAATATACCTATGGGTGGATGACACAATCCCTTATTGGGTTACTCTCACAAACAGTATATGAACTGAAACCAAATATTAAGAAAGTAACATATCCACATGTCAACATGGTCAAGAGGTTGGAACATGTGGAAAATATGATGTGATATCATATCTGTTGACATTGTCTTTGGGACAAGTAAATGAAAGCAGTGAACCAACACAATGCAGATATTGTGATAAATATTCCCCAAAAGAAATAATATCTACCAGTATACACTAGAATAAAAAGAGAAACATGTCACAAAAATAATCAGTGGCACCATTCATATGAGAAAAACATAAATTCAAGGTAATTATAGATAAATGCAAAAAATGTTCACTCTACAAAATCTGGTATGAAATACAATTACCATCCTGAATAGGAAATTACATATTACTATTTCATAGTATTTGGACAGAATGATGAACTTTTGGGCAGCTAGAACCAGCGTTTTAGGATAATTCCTTGAAGCATTAACTTTTTAAGCTATATACACATAGTCTAACCCATAATTTGTAAAGTTTGTTTACAACACCGAACATTTTCTAGAACTGTGCCTCTGACTAGTTGTTGAGCCTGTTGAGTTGGAATTCTGAATTTCACACAAGTGTATTAATTTCTGTCACCTTTTACATCTACTAGGGGCGGTCGGGTAGCATAATCGTTAAAGCGTTCGCTCGTCACGCCGAAGACCCAGGTTCGATTCCCGACATGGGTACAATGTGTGAAGCCCATTTCTGGTGTCCCCCGCCGTGATATTGCTGGAATATTGCTAAAAGAGGAGTAAAACCATACTCACTCACTCTTACATCTACTCTAGCATATGTACTGGCACATAAATGCACAATGTTGTCTGTTATATTTAAAAAATGATGTAAAAAGATAGCTATTAACTGGTCAACATGGTCAGATATGGGCAAAAGAACTGATCTCCCAAAAAACTCAATGGGGTCATGAATAATCAAATAATCTTCCTGTTAGTAATGATTGCTGTTTGTTTATCCGTGGAATACTAGATATAAATATTAATTAGCAATAAAATATTAAATGCAATTAAGCATGAGCATAGGCAATATAGACAGACAAAACGGGGCAATAACTTAAAAAAATAGTAGACACCTATCTTTGGTCAAATTCATCAAAACATTATGCTCATAGAAACTACAATGGTCAATAAGTCTTCTGATATGTCATGTAAGCAAAAAGCAGTAAAACCGTTTCATAACACAGTGGCCTGGCAAATAAGAAAAGGAAAAGCATGTATTTATCTGTCCCAAACTCCTGCATACTTAGAAGTGTTGTTAAGCATATTTTAAGTCCTCTTCGACATGTGTAAACATGGTAAATGATTGCAGAATGAAAATTCCAGGAGACATTGAATTTACTTTGACATCAAAGGTATGGGAGAGTTTTATGGAAAAACAAACAGCCATGTGTTGGTGATGCTTAGGGACAGTATCAAAAACATAAGGACATATTTTCGATTTCAAAATTGATTTTGCATCACTTGTAACAAAAATAATATCATTTAAACTATCCTATTAATTTATCGAACCCAGTTATTTTCAATACTAACATGTTATAGAGGACTGTTTATTTATTTTCTAGTATAGCATAGAAGACACACTTATATAACTATTCAAAGTATACCATGTATTAAGAAATGATACGTGATACTTCAGAGGTAGACACCATTGGTCGCATCCAACTAGTTCGCAGCTCATTTTGGACTAGTGGTTTTCGTAAATTAAATACATATCCTGCTTATTATGATCCTTGGTGTCTCAGCTTATCACCTGTGACTATGCGTTTCACAAAAGTAGCATTCACAAATTCAAATACTTGATATTAAACTCTCAAATACCTGGCATATACAAACACATCTTCATGTTTTCACTAATAGTTAAGAAAGCCTTTGAAAATCTTGAACTTGTATTCCACATGGCAGAATATTTTCAAGGCAGAAAAATTTAGGCTGATGTATAGGTTGGTTTTGGTCGTTTGACTGTCTTATACAAATTCAGCTATAGATTTTTCTAAAATAGTTAGAAGGCAGTCATATACCCCTTCTAAGCTTCAGTTTCCTGTAACAAAATCTGTAAAATAAACAAGAAAATATGGACTGTCACGTAAATTCTTGGTCTCAGTCGGGGGCACTTATAAAGATTAGTTACAGATTTCTCTAGGTTGGTCAGGGGTGCTTATTGAGCAGAGCGCTTAGTCATGTAAATACGGCAAATATGGCACATTATATGATTAAGTTATATCCACCACATGTTCTTCATACTTCTCCAATAGGATAAGATACAGGCCTACAGATCTGCCTTTCAGCCTCTCCACAGACCTTGTGCATTGCAATGTAAAGATCTAAATATGACACCTCCTCCAAAACAGGATTGTGTACATCATGTATAGACAATCATCTGTAGTTTCAAAACCAGGATTCTTGGCACCTAGGAAAATTTGCTATCTTTCCTTAATTACAAAGCAAAACTCGACATGATAAACTTGAATGTACTTTACCATAAGCTACTTAAAAATGCCTTGACACAATCCCTCACACATTCAAAGAATTCTTTCAGCTGATTGTTACACAAATTGATTTACTGTAGCTAACTTGTGGAGTGTTATACTTGTGGAAGTGTGGAGATTCCTTCTGCTCAAACAAACCTGTTTGCTTCTTCGAGTTTTGCTAACAACTCCAGTTCAGGGCTTCCCGGGCCCTCGGGATTCCCTTCTTCAGAAGGGATGGGATCACTCGTTGATGTTGTCTCCATGGAAACCAATCGGTAGACTCCTCTTTAATGCGATTTCAGCCATTTACTGTCATTTATGATCCTGAAAATGAAAATATATGAGCATTAATATAATAACAAGGATTTAACTAAACATGTCAAATGTTCATTGCAAGATTGTAATTTATGCCAATCACCCTGCATGTGTGACCACATGCACCCATTTTGCCAAGAAACAGTTTTAGCACAGTATGCTATGGGCCAAATGTACATTGTCTTTTAAGGTTTAGGAGATTTCACCAGTCCTTCCTAAATTTGACTAGCCTCAGACTAACATGTTAATGTCTAACACTATTTTATCCCTTTAAATGACTCTTATTTCTTCAAACACTGCATGTTATAAATAGTATTCTCCTTTCCCAGCTCCTGCCAGTTGCATAGTTTGTTGGCATCAATACAAAATAATAAATATCAGTAAGAGTTCATGGAGGAAGGGAGGTAACTCTAACTGTTAATCCTCAAGTACTGTTTACTGATGCTGAAAGGAACACTATGTTCTACACATTTGTTTATGTTATATATCTGTACACTGTGTTCTAACTTACAAGAGTGCTCGGGTCGTTGAGGTTTGCTGCTTAAGTATTTGAATCTAGTAATCCCTAAATGTTCAACATTCAACATTTGGGTAATGACAGGAATCCCTTGAATTTCATTCTTAATTTCAAACACTGTGTACACGACAAAATATTTCATGCACGCCTTCAGATACTCAATTTGGCAAATGTCAGGCCTTTTCAGCATATTCAAGCTAAATTGCAATTTAGGCCCAAACATGAAACCTCTCTCTGCATACACAACTGGTGCCTGGTCTTATAAGCTGGCTATTCCAACATCCCCACAGACAAGAGACTGAGTACTAATACTAATAGGATCCATTCTGCCCAAAGTTAGATTCCTACTTCAGACAAGCTTCCAACATACCAATATTTCCTGATGATGTATCAAGGACATTTCTTTTTCCATAAAGTAGTTGCTATGATACATAATGCTGACTTCCCATTACTATGATTACTTAACACTGAATGACACTGCAAACAGTTAGCTAGATTGTGTGGTCATGGTGGTAAGGTCATTTCCTTCATCAAGATAATGTTCAATCTATACCATGTATTCTTGGTACAAGTGTGCCGGCCTATCAGTGCAATGATGAAACTGTATGTCCTTGGAATGCACTGTAACAGGTCATTGAACTTCTAACGATTATCAATCACCATTACCCAGTTACTTGAGAGTCTGATCAGATTAATCAGACCATATCAGCTACCTTTCCAGTGAAGGAAACTAAACAGGGACCTTGAGGTTTACTGCTATGGTATTTGCATCTAGGAACCCCTAAATCTTTAACTGTTAACATGATTATGACAAGAACTCTTTGTGATAACAAACATGAATATGAAAGCATTACCTATAGATGTGACATCCCTGGAAGAGGTACAATAAATGTCCTTTTGGGAAATGTTAAACTTTAAAGTTAAGAAAAACTATAAAATATTGCTTTGAAAATGATCAAACATATTTAAATGCCTGACAACTAGCCTCTTTTCTTTCTTACAGTAATCATGGTGATACACTTGCAAGTTTTGGACTTCTGACATGGTCAAATATACAAATATGGCAGATATTTAGAACTTCAAATGAAAATCTAAGTATGAGGAACTCTGTGACCCAAGATGAATTTATTATAACATGTTTGTAATGTTTTATGTACCAGTACATACATCTCCTATGTAAATCAGTTTCTTGGGACAAATATTTGTTCAAATACAGGAAAAACACCTCATGAAAACATATAACATCAGCCTTTTTCACTTTGATATAAATTATAGAGAGATAATCGCTAACTCACTAACGATCAATTATCAATAAATATCGGAAAAGTAACTTCAAGCAATTATGTGAGAAAGTCTCAAAAGAAATCAACATATTTCTCACCACTGGTGAGTAGTGACACATTTATACATAGATTGTGTTTTGTAGATATTTGAGATATAACAAAAAAAGTTGCTTTCTGTCTTCGACAATTGACATTATTAATAATAACAATTTTATCACAATAGTTTATGTAAGTTATTATCGATGACAACAATTTCATCAATGTTCATATTGATAATCGTTAATAGTTCTTCCCATCAATGATAATTCCGATTTTTAATCATTTTAGCCAGCCCTAACAATTTCTAACCCTGATACTGTAATCATGTTAATAATCCAGATCCTGTGGGCCAAAGGACGTCCTTATCCTACTGTTTCCTTTAGATAAACATTGTATCAAATGTTCACCTCTGAATCATCTTTCAACTGCAGACTAGTATATAGATGCATTTGTCTGTGAGATGTCAACATGTTGCAAGTAGGGCTGTGTATTGGGGAAAACAAAAATCGATATTGCAAAATACTGCAATACAGGTACTGTATAACATTATTTGTGAATGACTTTCAGTGTAGATGTTTGTTTAATTGATACAAATAACATGGAAACTTATTATGCATTATTTACCCAATTTCCTGGAACAGAAAATATATTGCAATGTGTATTGTTAAAAAGCGTACTTCAGTGTACAGGTAATACCACGCAGTCCAAGTTGAAAGCAGGTATAATCAATAATGGGATGATGGTAAAATCATTGATAATGAAATACAAAATATAATGAATAATTGCTGTCAATTTATCCAATTTCCAGTGAATAATTTACTATCCACTGTGTCACCTGATTTACAGAATGTCAGTGATCAGAGTAGAGATAGTAAGTGCGTGCACAGATACATTATACAATGACCGTACTATCAAGCTCTCAACCCTCCTCTGACATGCTACAATACAACCTACTGGTTGGCAGTGAGCAGCAGTATTACAGAGACCTACATCCCATCAGTGTGCCATGTTAGCAGAGCTCCAGATAAGCTGCGTATTTGTGTAAAATACACACAATAAATCACATTTACCCAATTAATGTTGAGTTGTTTGCATACAAATATGCATGAAAATTTCTAAAATGCAACAGTATTTACAAGACTCTAGGGGTAAAACGATACAACGGTGCATCATGAGTTTTCATAAGACAACACAATACATAATACGTTTTTTTCTATATCGATAAACATGATAAAAGACAATATACTTTTACAAAAATAACTTACTTACTACTCTGACTGCAGACCCCACATTTCTGTCAGTCAAATATCACAATATGTATTGTAATTAGTGTTTCAAGGTAACTACAACAAATACCTACTTCAAACATGTCTACAGCTAGCTTTTCCTTTGGATCCTGCTCTGAAATATTCATCGTGAAGAAGATTCCACACGACTTGACTTGAATAACCGTATCGCAATACGTATCGTATGGAGACCTTGCTGTATTGTTTCACCCTTCAACACTCTGCATAGAAATACCCAACAGACTGGACCCAAAGGAGTAAAAATATACTAAATACCCAAAGAAAACAATCAATATCCAATGTGAAAGGTAACTTGTGAGTAAATACTCAATGACTCAAAACATCTCCAGCCTGTCAACAATATTACAGAGGCCTTATCCCACCAGTCTGCCATACTAGTCAACAAAGAAACTTCATCTCACATCAAGGCAAGGTTTCTGATGGCTTATATTGTGTGCATCAATCTGTGCAGTGATGAGCTAAGGACCCTACTGTCCACGACTTCCAAGTTGTCCACTACCATGCAAGAACTATCCATTGTCAGCAGACTCTTGTGTTGATCGATGCTTATGATATCAATCACTGGATTGTCTGGTCCAGATTCAATTATTTACCGACCACCGCCATATAGCTGGAATATTGCAGAGTGTGGCGTAAAACAACAAACAAACATTAACCAACCAGACACCTGTGATCCACAGTTGTTCTACATTCTTTATATGACCATCATGTAGTACAGGGGACCTGTCCCTATGATACAACCAAACAGGTAGCCTTCAAGTAGGGCTTTCCTCCTACCAACAATATTTTGAGTTTATAACAGGTTCCGGCTGTATTTTCAGAGAGGCTTCAAACTCTAGTTGAAGGGCTATCACTGAGCATAAAATGACTGCAAATGTTCTGCACCACAATCAACCCAATCATTATGATCATACCAACTGCACTGAAAACAAATACTTATGAGATGAATTTTAGATCAGCAGGACATAAATACTCTATTCCTAAAGCACATTACCCCAAGATTACAAAAAGACAACAGCCAGAATTCCTGACAGAATGCCTGATAACATGCTAGTTATGCTAGTCCACACCTGCACCTCAAGCTATTGACAACACATCATTAACTAGGATAGAAATTGGGGTCAGGTTCAAAGTAAAAGCCAAACTGCCTAGCTATCAGAATGTCAATAGGACTAGCAGAAATTCCTCTTACATTGAGTTTACTTTTATGCTGCTAACTCATTATCTCAATCAACATATTTGTAAAAAATCACTTCTCAACTGCTCACTAATAGAATGCATGCTAATTTTCTGTACTTTCAGTTGCGCTGAGCTTTTGAGCTTACGCTGTAAAGAGAGCCAGACCTAAAAATCAAGGATCAACACAATGGCAGTTTGTGCTTAGCAGGTAAATATTGCGATGGAAGTCTATTTCTTGACAGGATTCCAAATACTTTGAAAAGGAAAGATTTAACAGCAATAAAATCTGTGTATTTAGATCCAGCCACATATTCAAACCAAACAGCCTTTGTTTACTGATCATGCTGATTGTTGTTCATACCAGTATTTGTTTAAATTACAATTTTGAATTGTGCTTGAGATTTGCAGATCCTGGAGTTTTAAATCTTTAAACTATCCTGGCTTGTTTTAAGTTCTTTACCCATTTAAGTTCAATACTGGACTTTGGTGGAAGGATTATCACAAACCGTCCTGAAATATTCTTTGGTGTGACAGACTCCTACTTTACTTTTTATCCTTTAGATCAACATTATTATCATGAGTAACTAGGGGTGAAACGATACAGCAAGACCATGATACGATATGTATCATGATACATAGGTCACAACACGATACAAAGGGAGGCAACTCTGCACAGAAAATTGCAGCACCCTAGACCATGGAACCACCCAGCAAGCTTATATATATATTACAAATATAATTAAAAAAACATTAAAAAGGCAGAGACATACATATATGTCTATGCTTTAGTCATAGTATCTATGTGCTGAGGGCTCTTTATGCAATATACATTACATGACCATGAAGTCATGGAATTTTACAGCAACTGACTGAATAACAGACAAACTGGCTTTAGGCCTGTCCAGTACATGCACAAACACAAGTTCTGTGAAGCACCAGTCAGATGACACTGGAGCCGTGTGGAGAGAAGTGCACTTTATTGCTGTAACCACCTACGTGATGCAGTCTTGACTTCAAAATTTTGTCATCAGGAAAGTCCCACATAACACAGTCACCAGTCCGAAGCCAGTAACTATTTAATCGCCTTGTACTTGTCCACATACTAGGATAAAAATATTATGTACAAAACATTATGTCAAAATCCAAGCACAGGCTAGAAGACTCAAAATGTTTTACATCACACAGCTAAATATTCATACCGTATTTCATTTTCCAGGAAGTCATCCAAAATGTCCTGGATAATTGTTTTTAAAATTTTGTAATGATATGGAAGAATGTCCAATCAAATGTTGATAAATAATTTGTCTCTTGTAAAATCCCTGCTACATCTGTCTTGACTAAGTAGAGAGAGAGTAAACTGTTTTCAAATAAAGTATGTAGGGTGACTAGTTTTCACACATGCTAGAAATTACTAGCGAAACATTATTATGCCAGGGAACAAATTTATCACTTGCCCACTCAACAAAAGCTACCTCCCTATATCTTTCAGGTCAGTTGCAATTTCCTATTAACAGTTCACCTCTTTTCTGTCATTTTTTGACGACATGCTGAAACAAATAAGTTGTTTCTCTGTCAAAATAGTAAACTACCCAAACTCAGGAAACTGTTACCACCCTCAGGATTGGTAACAATAACTGTTCACTGTTCAGAAGCTTGATGTCGATCAATACGTTTCGTTCCCTCCCTGCACAGGCCGACCACACCAACAGCTAAGCCAGACTAATTCCAGGTCGTGACCACCATCTCAGTAATCTTACATCTTAGTTCTAATTGCAGCAATATTTCCTCTTGTGCTCCTCCCTAGATTTGTTTGCACTGGGATTCTCCGGTCGCTCACACTGACTCCAGGCCAAGACTTTCATCCCACCTTCCCTCCAACACCCAGCATTGTGTTTCACTGTCCAAGTTTACCTCTTGACCATGTTGACCAGCACATTGTCCTTGCCTCTTCACAATTTGATAACACAACTCCTGGTAGTGGTGTTTGTTATTTCCTTAACACTGAGTACAAAGCCAAATTCTTCAGCAATCAGTCTCAGATATCTATAACACACATTGTAAAAGATCAAGATTTGTCTTGCTCCATTGCAGCTGTTAAGAGTATCAGTTTCATAAAAAGTAAGATTTGCAGTGTAAATTTGTTTTTTTCAAATTTCAAGTCATTGTACAAATTTCAACCTTCAAGAAAAGTTTGAGATAGGCCATGTTTCCTAATGAATCCAGTGATTTTGCTGGAGGCAAATGGCATCTGTACTTTGGCTGATGCATTCTCATTGATTGTCAACTTACTGCAAGTTGCCATGATTACACAGCAGTGTTCTGCACCCTACCTGGCATTCTGCCTCAAACTGTTCTGAAGCCAGCCTGAAAACAACTAGTTATGTACTTTTGTAGTAACACTAATTATAGGTTTATTACTTCGGAATTGAATCTGTATTCATGTTTGATAATGTAAAGATTTTCATGGACAGTGATTATTATAGGGGTGTAATGAAATTTTATGTGATCTATCAATAACGTCATGATTAATATGTTTCACTATTGACAGTTTCGACTGATGTAATAACATAAACACAACAATACTAGCAGTAATAGCAATTAATATTGAGTATTTTAACATTGATTTTTATCCAAGTACACCTGGTTTGTTGACAAATAATTTAACCTTAATCTGACGATATATTCGGACTTCCTCGCTACCTCCCTTAAAACTTCCCCAGCAATGTCAATGAATCTAAGCACAGGTGTATAACAGGGCTCCAAGTTCATATTTCTACTTACTTGTTTACAAAGTAAATAATTTAATTCACTAGCCAAAATGAAATTCAAGTGGTCATGCGAATTCACACTACCTCTTTTCCACACTCACCAAGAGACAAGTGTTTTAAAATGTTTTGTTGGTTTCCCAAAATTTCACCCGCAAATGCAACCAATTCACTCTCAACTTGGAGCTTTGGTATATCATTATATGTCATGCTTTGACTTGACATATGGAATAAAGACAGGAGTGAGTGAGGTTGCTTTTACGCTGCTTTTAGCATTATTCCAGCAATATCTCTCAGGGGGACACCATAAATGGGCTTCACACATTGTACCCATGTCAGGATTCAATCCCGGGTCTTCAGCGGGTCGAACGCTTTAACCGCTTGGCTACCCGACTGCCCTGAATAAAGACCCGGGAACCTGCACTGCAATAAGCATGATAAGTTATACACAATATGGTGCTCATCATGATCTGATTGACTAATATTGGCAGTTGTACTGGAATAGCCAATATGGGGACAGTGGGACAATATAGTTCCCCAGTATCACATGATTGTTGTAAAAGCCAAGTGATGACGATTGGCTTGTTACATTGTGTGATCTGGATGGTTCTGTGTTATCATGCTCATGCTGTCAAGCACTAGTTTGTCTGGCCCAGACTCATTTACATGACACAACTGGAATACTGCGGACTTCAGTGTTTAACTAAAGCAACATCATAATACAAACACACATTTAAATTACAGCTGGCATTTCAATGTCACAATGTGTGTCAAACATTTTTGGATCTAACATTGTCTAATACACCAAACTTGTGCATCACATTCATCAGAATTTTATGTTATTATTATTTATATGGTCGGACAATTACTAGTTGAGCTCATTAGACTGGACAGAATGTTACCAGACGTGGGCTTCAGACTATTGGATAAGTTGCAGAATGTGTTTAGGTTTTCAACAACAAAAAATGTTTAAGATCTTAAAGCTGTCAATGGCCAGTGTCACCTCCACTTTTCACACATTGGAACAGAAGGAACCAATTACTAATTTACTAATTATACAGCACTAGTGACCCTCTAACATTCATAGTGATGCCCTGTCATTCAATACTTCCATGGCAGGTACTGACCCCTAATTCAGAAGCACTGCTGAAGTCCCATTTATACATATAATGCTAATCCCAGCACTGTCACAAGTAGGCTTTGTTTGTTTTCTGGTCTGAACTGTAGCAGGTCTTACTTGGATTTCACACTTCTACTGATCCTACAGATGTATGGCTGGGCTCACGGCTGGGCATGTTCACATACCTTATGAATAATGAAGTTCTCATTGTAACAACCTGAAAATAATGAGTCCAAGTAAATACCCACTACTATTCATGAAGAAATAGGTCAGGAATCACATCACTAATACTACACAAGTTAGCCCAGTAATGCATGTACTGTATTTTGTAAATAGTTGGCATGCCTATCTGTTATTATTACTCAGACAAAAATTAAAGGTAAGGTTTCACCTCAAGCCAAGCTTGTTGAAAAGAGCTATATTCATGATATTCCAGGAGCTATTTGTAGTAACAAAAAATGATAGGAGTGATGTTGTAAATTATTGGTGTTCCATGGGTGAGTGAGTGAGTGAGTGAGTGAGTGAGTGATGGTGGGTGAAACAGAAAGCTTTACACTGTTTTTAGCCACATTCCTGCTATATCACAGAAGAGACACCAGAGATTAATTGGCTTCACACATTATACCCAAGAAGGAATCAACCCTGGACTTCAAAAGAGCTAAAACTTTAACCACTAAACTACCCCACCTCTACAAAATAATAATGAGATATGTTCATGACAGCACACGCAAGGTAAATTCATTAATTGAAACAAATATGTAAATGAAATCACAGGAAATGTACCTGTGTACACACAAGTTAAACAGATCCGATTTCAAGGCCTAATGCTGTTGCATTGTTTGCTGATGTGTGTCGTTGATGTGTTTGTGTTACAGAGTATAGTCCAATTATTGCTATTCTGTTCATTGGTATCTACAGGATTGATCATGTTGATACAGAGAAAGAGTACAGATATTTTAAACAGTTCCCAAAACTAATTTCCAGTAACCAATGATCAAGCTTGAAAACCTTATAAACGGATGACTAGAATTTCCTTCTAAACTATCCCTGCATTATACACACATCACGGACAGATGCACAGGAAACATCTTTGTAGGAAAGGCACATTTCTAATTTCCTAAGGAACGATGACACCAAATTGTGACAGATTACAGATACCAGTAGGCATTATCAAAGGCTGCAATGCAGCAGTCTGTAACTTTGGCCACTAGTCCAAAGCCTGAGTCTAGCAAAATTATATTTGGTCTAGTAAGCTTAGCTAATAATAACCCATATTGTAACATAACATTTACAAAAGATGATGAGCCAAGCTTAGAGACAAAA